CCCACCTCTACCAGCTGGCTTCCTGAGTCCCCCTCCTCCCCGGGCTGAAAGCATGCTCTCCTCCCTCCTCCCCTCTCCCTGGAGCATGGCAGCTAGAACTCAAACATGAGCCCCGTCCCCTTCCCCCTCATCTCTGAAGGAAGGGATTAGATCTTCCTGTTGTCATTGGCTCTCCATCACCCAGTGACTTTCAACTTGAAAAATTAACAAATAAAGCATTTAGGAAGCCTGTGCTGGGGACAGAAATAGCAAGAATGAAATAATTGTGACTCTACAGGACAAGGTTCTTGGTTTCTGTGTGTCATGGACTCCTCAGGCAGCCTGAAGACCCCTTCTCAGAATAATAGTTATCTGGTTGGTTTTTTTAATCTGAAATTAAAGAAATGTTCCCTTTCAGTTGGAGGTTAGTTAAAAGGAGTCATTTTTTTCCCCCTTCAAGTTCTTGGACTCCCTGAAATGCCTCCAGGGTGCCTGGGACCTCTACTGGGCTAGACCCTGGGGACACAGCCCCTGCCCCGAGGTAGCTGACACTCCCACAGGGGAAATTAGAAGGGTCTTAATAAATGTCTGTTAAATTAAGGAACTGATACTACAGGCCAAGTCTTCCCCAAGACACAGGCACAGAACAGGAGGAAACCTTGGCCTACCATCTACCAGCTGCCCATGTTATATTTCCCCTTCTTTTCTCTTAAGATTGAGGACCCAAAGGGGCAGAGAAGGCAGAGGCTCTTATCATCCTGACCTTTTGGGGTGCACCAGGGCCCAAGCAAGCGACAATTTGTAAAACCAAAGTTTTATTCTGATTTCTCCCCCAGCATCATCCTCGCCTCCCTCCCATGGGCACTCTGAGAACATGGACCACATTTTCAAAGGGTCACCTGGTCAGAACATGTTCTGACCTAGGAAACACGAAGATGAGACAGCTGCCGCCTCCTCACTTGCTTCATGGAGCCAGCACTTCGATAGCAGGCCTTTCTGAAAGGGTCAAGGAGGAGGCAGTGTGGTCCAGTGGGAAGAGCCTTGACCATGTGACCAGAGGTCCTGGGTCGGAGTCCTCCTCTGCTGCTTAATCCTCGTGTGACCGTGGCCAAAACACAGGACATGATACCTTGATGGGCCTCAGTTTTTTGATCTGTTAAATGACAGGGCAGGACGAGGTGGCCTGTGAGGCCCCTATTCATTGTAAACAGCATGATTCTATGATGCTCTCTTCAAAAATATTCATTACCCAAATACACAATGACTCACGTTCTTCCTCCACTGATCTAGATGGTCACAAGAGAAGTGAACAATTACAAGGGCATCTTTCCTTCAAATGAGTGAGTTAAATCACAAAAGTCCGACAAATCTTCGCATTCATCCCAGCACAGCTGAAGGAAGGTCTAATTGGGAGTCTGAAGGCATCCAGTGGGCATCTGCCCAAGACTGCCTGAAATGTGCCCTTGGGCAGGATTTAGCCTCCCCAGTGGGGAGCCTAATCTGGATGTCCTCCGGGCCCTCTGATCCTATTACTTTACTGCTCATCCTCTCTTTTGGGTGGGGAGGAGAGGGGGGGGTAGGGAGCAGGCAAGAAGGGAGGGAGAAAGAGAAACTACAGAGACATCCTTGCTAGCAACTGGGCATGGTGGATGTCACTTCCCCTGTCTGGGGCTCAGTCTTTTCATCTGTAAAATGACAGAGCTGCCCTGGAAGACCTCTAAGGGCCCTCCCAGATCTAAAAACGACCCCCAGAGATGGCCAGAAGCCTCACTTCCACATACGTCCCAGGTTTTCCAATAAAGGGACCAAAAGCTCCAAACACGTCCCATACTCCTTTTCACGTACTGGAAACAGCCACACCGTGGGAACACCAGGCAGATCACTGCTCTGAATTCATATGATGCCTCTGATGCTTAATACTTGTGTGGCCTTTGGACAAGTCACTTTGCTTCTCTAAGGCTCAGAGTTCTCATCTATAAAATGAGGAGATGGATAAGATATCCTCCAAGGTCCCTTCCACCAACACAAAATCCATTTGACTCCAAATCACTGGATACCAAAGTATCTAAAATCTCAACTGCCGGACACTCCCAGTTTAAAAGAAAAGAAAGCCCGTGTGTGGTTACCAGATGATAGCCCTCCTCCCCCCGCATCTCTGAAACTCTAAGGAGGCCTCAGAGCATCTGAGTCCCTGGGCCTCCCTCAACACAGTATGGAGGAAACATGTGATGCTCCTGTTCAAGAATTACTGTCACCTGTAATTCAAAGTTATTTGGAAACCTTGCTTCCGAAGGCCACAACATGCTCTGTAAAACAGGCCTCACTGGATTTTACTCTTCAATCACCCTGCACAGAGCTGTGACCACAAAGAAGTCCACTGTGCCATCAGCTTCCTCCACTCCTCAAGATGCACAGTTTTCACAAGGCCTGCCTGCCTGCCAGCCTTACCTCCACGGACTGCCCAGGCAGAGCCAATACTTCCTTGTTGGAACCCTAGAGGCCTACATACAGATAACCCTCTCCAGGTCAGTTCCTCCCTACCAAACTTGGTGGGGAGGAACCACTCTCTGTCTGTGTGTCACACTTGGTACTAAAATTCTATTCCATATGGATTCTGTCACTTTCCTAAGTGGAGGAAAGTTCAGAAAAACTTTGATTTTACAGTTCAAAAACCAACCCTCTAATTCCCTAACTCAAGCTTCCAATAAACTGTTTTCTCTATTTTCTCCAGTGCTCGAATTCCTGAGAACCAGACGACTGGGTTTCATAATCAGATTACCCAGGAGCCAGCCCCAGGTCAACTAGTTCCTGGCTCCATAACTAACCTCTTCACTGTCTCTGAAATGAGGGGGCTGCACCTCTGAGGTCCAAACTTACGGTCCTATCATGCAGGAAGGAGCAGGGTCCCCCTTTAGTGTACAGCCAGGCGTCATGCTATAAAGAAGGGTAGCCTCTGAGCAGGGAAGATGGGGCTCCAGGGCTGCCTCTGGCTCTGACCAGTTGTATGACCTATGGGCAAACCAATTAACCTCTCACTGACCCGGAGCGACTCTCAAAGACGAGAAGCTCCAGGGAAGCTGCTCATCAGAATCACTGAAGGGAGTTTCCCCTTCAGGAGGTGTGTACACACACACACACACACACACACACACACACACACACACACACACACACACACACACACACACACACACACACACACTCTCTCTCTCTCTCTCTCTCTCTCTCTCTCTCTCTCTCTCTCTCTCTCTCTCTCTCTCTCCCTCCCTCCCCCTCCTTGAGGAGACAGCCTGAACTGTCCCTGGCACCAGGTACATAAGAGGCTCTTTATAAACCTCTGTGAGATTCCATCTCAGCCCAAGGGAGGGCCTCCCTAAGGGGGAGAGAGCTGCCTCTTCGGATTCTGCCCTGCTCCATTCAGGTGGGCAGTGCGCCCGCACAGAAGGTGCCTCAGTGCTGCTCTCATTACACTCCCTGGGAAGAGCTTTCTGCATATGCAAAGTGCTTCCTTACTATCCATTTCTAATTAGGCTGCCACACACAATGACATTTTAGGAGAAAGTCTGATTTCTGACACCTTGGGAATGCTGTCTGGTTTGCTCATGCGCTCCTCTCTCTCACACACACACCCCAAAAACCAAATAGGGCCAAAGAAATCTTTCCTACTCGTTTTTTTCCTGGCACTGGGTCCTCCCTGACAGTTTTTCCAGTTACTACTCCCAGCCTGGGTTCACTGACCATACCCTGCTCTTCCCCTCGACTTAGTTGCCTGACTCGTGTGGGGCAGCCATACAGGATACATATACATTCCTTTGACTGGAAAACCAAGTGGATGTGAATAGGACTTGTGTGTATGGCGATTCTGCATGTTAACGATGTGGGGATCTGGCAGGGCTGGAAGGGAAAGGCACACAGAGTACTTTGCCATTTCTGTTCCCCCTCATCATGAATTTAGTGACTTTTAAAACTGCGTGCCACTCCAGGAGGGAAACTGCACAGACTGACGCTGATCCCTCTGCTGAGAGCTCCCGCAGCCAGGTGGCAAGAGGGCAGATGGTCCACAGTGCCCAGCCCCCTCCCCACCCTCCCTCATCCCACTCTCCACCATCCACAGCCAGCTGGCTACGCAGGAGAAACTGGGCTGTCCCAGCCCTGGACCACACAGTCCCAGCGCTGCTCCCCACCTCGCCTTCCCAGGGCCTGAGTCACCCAAGAGAGACTAAGGAGGGCTTCCTGGAGGACAGTCCCCTGTCTCTCCTCTCCTCCTGCCTAGACAGGAACCCGCCTTCCCAAATTCACCGCTCCTCTCCGCCCCCCCAACCTGGGCAACCCTGCCAGCTCCATGGTCCGTGCCAACTGAGCGCCCGGCCCTCCTGCCCCCATGGCGAGGGAGCCTGAGCCTCTCCTTCCTCGCACACGCCCAGCCAGCCCCAGATACTGCCAGCTTCGCCAGTCTAAAGGAGGTCCCCTGCTCTCCTCGCCCCAAGCAAAGCCTTCCTGCAAGCCGGGAGCAAAACCAAAGCAATATTTTTTTAGTCCTGGCGTTTCCCACCTCCCCCCAACGTCAGTACCTACACGATTCCCAGAGCCATTCTCTCCTCCCTACTCGGGGTCATCCAGGCCCGAGGCTGGACGTCAGCTGCCCGGCCCCGACACCACACCCCCCCACCCAGAGGTCCCGGAATGCGGACGGGCCCCCCCCCCCGCACAACTGGCGTCCCGCACCCCCGGGGGAGGTCTCTCGCCCCTTTCCGGAAAAGCCCCGAAGCAGCTTCCCGGCCAGGACGAGGGGGTCCCCCGGGCGCCGGGCTCTGCCCATCTAGGTTCCCGGAAAGCCCCGAAGCACGCCCCCCCACCCACCCCCGCAAGCCCGCGGGCCCAGCGGGCCCCGCCTCTCGGCAGCCTCGGCCTCCGAGACCCCCGCGGGGCACAAGGTGTCGGCCCCCCCCCCCGGGGCGCGCGGCCGCGGGCGGGGCGGGGGCGGGGGCCCCCCGCGGCGCCCCTCCCCCCGCCCCACTCACGATGGTTACGCTGGCCTTGCGCAGGTCCCGGTTCTCCTCCTGCAGCGCCTTGCACTTGAGCTTGTACGTCTCCAGCTCGATCTTGAGCACCTTGTTCTCCTGCTGCAGCGACGCCAGCCGGTTGGTGAGCTCCTCCAGGCGGAACGGCGAGATGACAATGCCGCCCGGCTTCCCGCCGCCGCCGCCCGGGCCGCCGCCGCTGCCGCCGCCCGGGCCGCCCGCGCCCGGGCCCGCGCCCCCCGAGCACGACGGCTGCATGGCGCCCGCGCCCCCGCCGCCCCCCGGCCCGCCGGGCCCGCCGCCCCCCGGCCCGCCCGCGCCGTCCGTGTCGCTCTCGCTGGCGCTGTCGGCCATGGCCCGCGGCGGGGGCGCGGCGGGGACGGGGACGACGAAGAGGCGCCGCGGGAGCCGGGCCGGGGCCGGGGCCGGACGCACGCTCGGAGGTGGCGGTGGAGAAAGAGCGGAGCAGAGCGGAGCGCGCGCGGGCAGGGACCGGCGGGGCCTGCGAACAGAGACCTCGCCCGGGCTCGCCGAGAATTACAGCGGCCGCGGGCACGCCCCCCGGGGCGGGGCACGCCCCTGGCACGCCCCTCCCGGCCCGGCCCGCCCCCGCGGCGGCGGGGCCGAGGGGCGGGGCCGAGCGTGCCCGCGCGCCGGCCGGGGAGGGGCGGAGGGGGGGGGGAGAAGTGGAGAAGGAGGGAGCAGAGGACGAAGAGGGAGGGGAGGAGGGAGAGAGGGAGGGGAGGGGGAGGAGAAAAAGAGGGGGAGGGAGAGAGGGAGGAGAGGGGAGAGGAGGGAAGAGCAGAAGGGAGAAGAGAAAGAGGGAGAGGGGAAGGGAGAAGAGGAGGAGGAGGGGGAGGAGACCACAGCCTTGGAGGGAAAGTGGGGAGGAGGCGAGCCCGCCCCGCCTCCCAGCCCGAGGTGGATTGCAGAGTAATAGACATTTATGTTATCCGTCCATTTAGATGGACATATACACAGAAATATGTCTCTCTCTCTGTGTAAATATAAATAAAATCAAGCCAACGAGCATTCATTAGGCACTTACCACGTGCAAGGACTTAGGCCCACTGTTGCAGGCGGAGAGATGAGTGAAATTGTGCCTGACCACAAGGGAGCGTGACCACGACGCTATCTATTACACAGTAATTCTGTATCTACAGCTACATCCTACACATGGCATCTCAAAAGTCTTGGTGCCAGTTTAAGTTTGAGTAGCTGTACGTGTGTGTGTATAGATATGTATGTATGCATGTATGTATACAGGATATGTATATGAAAATGTGAATAGATACCATGTCTATGTATACACATTGTACATAAATACATATTGTACTATCTATGTATGTGCATACAGGGTGTTCTAAAAGACTTTCTGCAGCTTTAAACTACTAATAGTTTTAAACTGCACTAAGACTTTTGGGATACCATATGTGTATGGGTGTGTTAATATGTATATGTGTTGTGTGCCTGCACATGTGTGTATACAGAGTGTGTAGATATACATTTTACATATATACAGTATATACATATTATTCTGTGTGTATATTTGTGTCCGTGTCTATATATGTGCATGCATGTGCATTTATAAATGCTCAGTGTATTGTATATGTACACACATTTGTATATGTACATATTGTATATGTATTATATATCTGTAGCTGTATGTATTTGCACACATGGGCACATTTACACGCACACACACACACCTACATCTTATCAAGTCATTACAATGTGCTGGGCACCGTGTCAAGTACTGGAGACAAGGATTTAAATGAAATAGTTACTGGCTCCCAGGAGCTGCATTCTAATATATAGATCTAACATATATGGGTATGTGCTTGTATTTACTTAAACTTAAAAGGCCTTTACTAAGCACCTACTGGGTGCTGAAGACACAAAGACACAAATGAAAATTCTTGGGCTTCAGGAGCTTACCTCCAACCATCTGTCACTGTTTAATTTGGGGTGTTTTGACAGGTGACTTCAGCAGGGTGCCGAGGTATTGGTAAGAAACTTCCTCAGCTAGTTTAGAACCTTGGCATTTTTTGATAATATGAGGCTTAGAAAAGTTATGTGGGGCACTGAAACATTCACTGACTTATTATACCCAGTCTGTAGCCTGGGTGGGACTCGCACCAAGCCTTCCAGATTCTGATGCCAGCTCTTTTTCTCCATTAGACAACATGCTTTTCATAGAATGCACTCTGTGTATCATAGGAAGAGGTATATTCACATTAACAAGGATCACACGCCTATCAGGCATGTGGTAAGAACTGAAAAAACAAAAGTGAAAAAAGCCATGACCTCAAAGAGCTTTTCTCTTACTAGCTATTATATAAAAACACATTTGTGCATTTGATTCAAGAAGCACCTGACCCACAGTAGGCACTTAATGAAATGCTTGTTGATCGATTGCTGGGCATTGTGCTGTCCTCAGGAAGCTCACAGTCTACCATAGAGAGTACATGTGTATGATGTAACATTTATAAATAAATACATATTCAATTCAACAAATACATTTAGTGACTGCTCTTTGTGGGATCCTGTGCTGTGGGCTGGACAGATTTATTTTAATTAAAGAGCCTACATTATAGTATATGTAGTGTGTACATATATATATATACATACTACATATATTATACAAGTACATATTTAATTCAAAAAACAATTATTAAGCACCTATGGGCTATTCATTGTGCTAAGCACTAGGGATATAAAACCCAAAATTCCTCCCTGAGAAGTTCTATTCTATTATATGATACATTTATACCTGTGTAAGGTATGTGCTCCCATGTCAGAAATGCATGTCCACATCGATGGAATGAGGCTCTCTGGAAACCTTGGTACTTATCTCTGTAATCTTGCCCACCTCTCTACAAGAGACATTTGTGATTCCTGCCTGGAGGGAGCATGGCCACAAGCTGAATCCTCTGTTTTCTAGTTTGTGAAACAGGTAGTAATCTGGAATTAGATTCCATTCCCCACCAGTAACCTACCAACCCCCACCAACATTGCTGGTTCCAAAAAAGAAAACACCTCCTAGTCTCGGGGTGGGGGACCTGCAGCCTCAAGACCACACGTGGCCTTCTAGGTCCTCGGGTACGGCCTTTTGACTGAGTCCATGTTTTATGAAACAAATCCTTTTATTAAAGGGATTTCTTCTGTGAGCTTGGATTGAGGACCTAGAGGGCCACACGTGGCCTTGAGACCACAGGCTCCCCAGCCCTGGATTAGAACATACCAGAATGTCCACAGAGTGAATGTGCTCTTTAGATGGGGAAGAGTTGAGATCTCACTTCGAACAACAGGAGAGACCCCAGCATTCTGGAAGTGTCTAGGGAGGGAGGATGGAAATCAAGGCCTTGTTGGGAAGTTTGCTTTCCCCACATGTTTGCCACTTCCAGTCTTTCTGTCTCCCAGGAGAGCTTGGCACCACCACGTCTTCTCTAAAACGGTGTCTCGCCTCTTTAAAGCTCCAGGCCTAGCAGGCAATCCAGATCACACTTGTAACTGATATCTAATTGAACAAATAAGTTGTTACTGTGTCCCTGATCTGTAAATGTGCTGTGTAGTGGAGGAAACTAGACATGGAGTCAGGAAGACCTGCGTTCAACGTCCACCATAGATGTCTCCTAGTTTTGTGACCCTATGTCACTTAACCTCACTCTGTGCCTCTGTTTCCTCATCTGTAAAATAAGAGAGTTGGACCAAATGGCCTCCAAGGTCCCTTCCAGCTCTAGATTTTTGGTTCTAGGATATGTGAAGGGTACCATAGTAGACATTAGGGATAGTAAGATTAAAAATAAGAAGAAGACTGTCCCTGTCCTCAGGGAGCTTATATTCTACCAGGGCAGGGTAGGAAGGAGGATGTACTCTATCCCCCGATTTGGAGGCATCCTCTGAAAGAGGGCCTCTGCCTCCCAAACGATGCCCCAGACCAGCCTCCCAGGCTTCCACCTGTTCTGACCTCAAAGGTGGTGCCCACAGGAACATCACCCGGTGGGCCACACCACTCTGAGCAGGTTTCAGCCTGTCTGACTCTTATGCCTGGCCCTATCTTGTCTTTTCTCCTTCTCTGGCTGTCATTCTTTGGCAGAGTGATGAAAATCGAAGAGCCCTGGATTTGGAGTCCAACAGTTTGGGTCCATACAAATCCTGTCTCTGCTGATCGCACCCTGTGCGTTCCTCGGCAGGCCCCTTAGATTCTCTGTGCCTCAGTTACTCCATCTGTTTGAAGTTAGCGTTTGATAGGATTAGGTGGCTTACAGGGTTCCAAAAGTCTTTGTGCCGTTTGAAACTTTGATAGCTTTTGGGGCACCCCGTTCATGACAGCCATAGGTCTCTCGACATATATTCTTCCTCTGATCTGATGAAAACTAAAGGACCTATTGGCAGGTGAGCACAAATGGTACAGAAGGAATTGTCCTTGCTTTTTCTATGTTCCTAAGGACTGCTGGCTCCAGGATAGGGATGGGAAAAGCCTTGATCTGTTTGAGCGCAGCTCGGTGACTTGAAGCCCAGATCTGCTCCTTCATAGCTCTGGAATCTTGGGAAGGAAAGGAGCCTGGTGTGGTGAAATGCTGACACCTAGATCCTCTGCTACCTGTATGTACTTGGGCAAGTCATTTCTAGTCCTCTGGACCTTGTTTCCTTATTTCTGAAATAAGGGGATTGAATTCTAGGTCCCTTTCAAGTCTAAAGCTATGATCTGGTGCCTAGTACACAGTTTCCTATTGTCTAGTCATTTCAGTGGTGTCCAGCTCTTTGCGACTCCATTTGGGGTTTTCTTGGCAAAGATGTTGGAGTGGTTTGCCATTTCCTTTTCCAGCTCATATTGCAGGTGAGGAGACTGAGGCAAAGGGTTAACTGACTTGCCCAGGGTCACACAGCTAGTAAGTATCTAAGGCCATACTTGAATCAAGGTCTTCCTAATTCCAGTCCTGGTGCTCTATCCACCATGGCATCCAGCACACAGTAGTAATAAAGGCTTGTCAGTTGATTGCTCCTACATAGGTAATACAATCATTTTCCCTGTCTTACAGCTGAGGAAACTGAGGCCCACAGAGAAGTGATATAGCTCATGAGGGACCTGACCATTCATTTTTCCTTACCAAATTAAACTCACAGAAAAGTTTTAAGGGTTTGAAAATGAAATCACTTAACTTTTTTTTTTTAACTCTATCAGATCACAAAAAGCTTTCTATCTGGATTTGGCTTCAAAAGACCTGGGTTCCAGTCCTGCCTCTTTTCTCATCGATTCCTTCAGGTTCTAAAGGAAAAGTATTGAGGTAATGATCTTTAAGGAGCTTGCATGTCACAGGTTTCCAGGTAACCTGGAAGTTTTGTCAAAT